TGTGGTGGGCATCCGGCTTCCTATAGTCTCTTTAAGGGTTTTCCCTAAGAGTTTCGGTAGAAATTGTTATCAAAACTTTTGCAAAAGAGAAACGCCGAAGATATACCAAGTCTTGGTCGTGGTGTTGGGTGGGTCAAGAGGCATCATTCCTTCTGACAGCATAAGATAGTGGAGATCTTGATTTTGACTTTGGAGTATTCTGCGGATTCTGTGTCTTTCTTTTTCTTAAATTTCTCGGATGCATTGTCGTTATTGGTTATTTTTTTATTATAATATTGTTGAGCAAACATCCGTGGAGTAAAGCTAACTCCTCCTGGGCATTGTTCTTATTACATCTCTCTTATAATATCAATCATGTTGCATTCTCCTTTTGGCCATAATCAATATTCATACAAAGTCGATCATTTGGGACCGTTTGTAATTTATTCCCTCACACCATTGATTCTATGCGGGGAATAAGCACACTAAAGTGTCATAACTTTTGTACGACACTCACTTGAATGTCATAATTTTTTTTTCGTACACTTGAGTGTCACAAATTTAAAAAATTGATTACTTAAGTGTCATCCGCAATTTGCCACACCAGAAAATCCAACATAGATGCCCGTTGTCCTACGTGGCATTGCCAGAGTTGACGTGGATAATTAATAAAAAATACCCAAAAAAAATCCACGTCGGAACGAAAAATTAAAAAAAAATCCACATCGGACGATTTTCTGGGAATGGCACTCAAATAATCAATTTTACTCCGATGTGGCTCTCAAGTGATTGCCGTACGAAAGTTATGGCACTCTTACTATCATTATCCCAAATATTTTTTTTTATAAGTGAAAAGGTTACGGAGGGCCAATCAATGCAGTTGTCCCTCTAAATTTTATCATAAGGGTTCCACGTAGACAAGTGCCTTGCATTAATTAATTCTTTATAAGACATATTAATAGAAGTGGGTACCCTATATATAAAACTAGGTACTTCTTATGAATAAGTACCATCGCATATAAGATCCAAAATATTTTAAATTTTTAACAAAGATCGAAATCAAAATATCATCAAAACAGTTATTATGTACTTATTTTTAAGTAGTATTAATTATAATTACATCATTTGCCTCTCTTTTTTTCCAAACCACCATACGGCCCTTGAATCTTGAAACCCATAATACTCTCTTCTTATTTTACTCGCATCAATTCAAATATAAATAAGTATGTTAGGTTTAACATTTAAATGAGCAATTATGTGAAAATAATAAATGCATAAAGGCCTTTCTCCATCCATTTTTTGACTTCCAACGCCCCCATATTACCTTAAATTGACCATAATATTTTGTTACAGGTCCTAGATTTAAGATTGTTTCTTACCTTTTTTTTTCTTTCTATGGAAATTTTGATGCATTTAGAATTGACAAAAAAATATGAATTTGCCAATGGTTTGATTGGATTTGTTTGTCTTTTCAATTACAATTGTCATAATTTTCTTGTCAATAACTGATTATTCCACTTAATCAGCCATACTTTTCAGTTTTGTCAATATAGTTATAAACTTTTGGGTGATATTTCAATATAGTCTTTCTTGCCAATTGCCACAAAAAATCGTTAACATAGCGTTTAGTCATCACCGGCCATTCTAAGAGGCATGTTGAAGTGGGCAATTTGTTGATTTCCACATCGCAATTTACAACGGCAATTGGCAGGAAGGACTACATTTAAATATCGTGCAAATGTGTAGAACTATATTGACAAAATTGGAAAGTTAAAACTGAATTGACATCCGTACAATAAGTTTTGGACAAATTAATAATTTTCCTAAATATTTAAATAATCACTCCTTCAATGGACAAATGTATAAGCATTAATGGGATAAGTATGTAAGGAGTGTCATAACTTTCGTACGGTACTCACTTGAGTGCCACAAATTTGAAAAGTTGGTCACTTAAGTGCCATAAGAGATTTGCATTGTTCGAAAATCCGATGTGGACATTGGTTGTCCGACATGGTACTGCCGGCGCTGACGCTGACAATTAATAAAAAAAAATCGACAAAAAAAGTCTACATCGGAATGGGAAATTAATAAAAAAATTCATATAGAATGATTTGTTGGAAATGGCACTCAAAGAATCGATTTTACTCTAATGTGGCACTTAAATAAATGAAAAAAAAAATTATAGCACTCAAGTGAGCGTCGTACATAAGTTATGGTGCTCCTACTATTCTTATCCCATTCTATGCGATAATGTTATCAAATATATGGAAATTTTAATTCTTGATTCTTTCATTCTCACTATTTAATTGACATTGAAGTTTCATTCTAGCTCTGACTGCTTCTTGATGGACAGTTACAAAGATTGTTGATGTGGCAACTCTAGGATGAAAAGTGGACAAACGCCCCCATTCCCACAACAAGGCTTGCTTGTACTTTTTTTTCCTACGGGAAATTACATTTAATATTTTGATAAGATTATGAAGACATTGTCTATAATATGTGAAATTATAGGGATTTTGTTTTTCTATAAAGAACTCATAACATTTCCGGTTGTTCCTTTCTTTGTACAACCTATTAGGTAACATACAAGACCTACCATCAGTATAAGGCCATTTTCTCGTGAGGAACTAGGGTTTTATCTCTGCTGTGTGATAGCCTTCGTGTGTCTTGAAACATGTAGAAGTTCAATTCACGTTAATAACTCAGTTAAAATTTTAAATTTTATTGCAACATAAACCATCATTGTGATTTTTTTGTGAGAAGAAGATAATTGTGGTGGCATGAAAAGAATCTATATTCAATTTGTTGTGGCTGCTTCCGTCTTCCTTTCAACGGAGTTTTCTCTAATGTTGTCATCATCACTCACATTGCGCTTGGAGATATCTCCATTGACAATAATTTGGCGGAAAATGTGACGTTACTCGAAAATATTTTCTAAGGAGTCATTTTTCAGGAAAAAGATAATATTTTCCGGTATTTAGCTGAAACCTGAAATGAATTAGAAAATATTTTCTATCGTTTGATATCTAATTTGATTATCAGGGGAAAATTACCAAAAATTCGAATTTTTTAATTTTTTTTCTTTTTGCTTCTTTCTCGGCCAATCGCCAGCCATAGCAATGGTTGGCATCAGCCACGGGCGAGCTCGACCTCGCCGAAATCTAGTTGCGACGAGACTCGAGCTCACCTGTGGCCGGCAACTGGCTGAGGAAGAAGCAAAAAGAAAAAGAAAAAGAAAGAAAAGGAAAGAAAAAAATTAAAAATTAAAAATTAAATAAAAACTAGATTTTAGAAAAAAATAATAAAAATAATAAAAAAGAAAAGAAAAAAGTAATAATAAAAGGAAAAGGTGTTTGGTGAAAGAAAGTGCTTGGTCTAGAGGTAAAAGAAAGGTGATGGAAATTGTATTTTGCTTTCTGAAAAGCAGCAAATATTTTCTCCACTTTTAAAGATGTTTTTTCCATTGGTGGAAAATGTTTTCCCTGAGTAGTTTATTTTTCGTGAACCGAATACTGAAAAATCTGGAAAACATTTTTCCTGGAAGTTGTTTTTCATGAAACGAATGGAACCTTAAAATACAAATAAATACTTCATATGATCGCCAAATCAAGAGCAAGCAAGGTGTCATCTCAGTATTACTAGACAATCAAGTTTTCCCTTATGAGCTATGACAGTTCCGGTAAAATTTGTTGACGAAAAATGCATTTGACTAGTATGTCCTAGATGAGGAAGTATTTTATGCATCGGCATTACCTTCGTTGCCAATCCAATCCGATATATAATTGGGACTAGTTAATCATATTTACGTATGAGTGACCATAAAAAAAGAACAAGCAATAAGAAGAATCAAATATACCTTATTTTGAAAATTTTAAAATTTCATAATTATTATAATCGGTGATAGGTATTGTATCCGATATATTAGATACTTTACGTGAACAAATTTACAGCTATGCTCCCTTTTTATTATTTACTTTTTTTTTTGGGTGGTGGCTTTGGCTTTATCTTTTTGCTTAAAGTAAAGAGCGGAGAATATGATTCTAAGCGCTTTTCGTACAAAACGATGAAATATTGCGACCTTAATCTTTGTGGGGTTTGTATGATTGCATGAGACCCTTTTAAAAAAGAAAGGCACCTACCATTCTTGACTTGAGTGGCACGCGATTCTGGGTTTTTTCATCCCCTTTTCGTTTGGTTAAAATTCTTCTTGCTCAAATCAATTTTAAAGATTAAATGAAAATCCTCTATTGGAGACTGTTCTACCACGAGATGGCCCCCAATGTATTATTTCTTTTTCAAAACACATCACGGGCTTCATGTGAAGAAGGTGACTTACTTTAAGTTCAGTCCAAATCCTCCAAAGCAATTTAATGTGCAGACAATTCCTAGGAATACCTTATCTTTGCGGATTACATTAGGAAGACCTTATCATAAAGTGTGATTTCGGCGTGATTTAACGGCTGGAAACAACGACATGACTTTTACAAAGTTACTGGACCGACCATAGATTTGACATTCTGATTTATGCAAACAAATTGTCCCTCCAAATAATGATTAAAAGAAGTTAACTGATGCCAGTCAATCAGCAACAGCAATATAGTTGTCCCCTCTCCCTCTCTCATTTCTCACTCTTTCTGCCTCTCACATTCAACCTCTCTCTCTCTCTCTCTCTCTCTCTCACAGAACAATTTGAGCCTAGTGTCTGCTGACCGGTCCTCACTCGCTTTCTTTGATCTTTTCCCTCTTGTAAGTTTTCGCCCAGGCTTGTTTAGGTTCTTCTCTCTCTGATCTTGCACCGCTCTTTGCATCTTAGCTCGCAGAAGGTAATCGCTTTTTCATCTCTCGCTAGCGTATCGTTTCTATTGACGCTTCATTACGGGAATAATCGGCTGATTTTGTGTGTTTTGGGCTCTTTTTAGTCGATCGTGAGTGTGGGTGGCTGCTGAATAGCTGAGTGAGGATGGTTTTTCTTTTCTTTTGGTCTCTCTTTCGAATGGTTGTTACCGGGTAACGTGGTATGTCACCAGCCAAGATTTGACTTCCGTCGCAGCGGAAACCCTTCGTTTCCGACTTTAGATGGGACTAATCCTATGCCTTCTCTGTCTGATTGTTCGTTTGCATTGTAATTTAGTATTGATCTTTTGTTAACCTAGAATGAGTTGGCATATCGCCAGAATTCGCCTGAAACCAGGGACCAACTTTTTATGAGCGTTGTCTAAAACTTGAAATCTGCCAAATAAAAACATGATTGATGAAAATTTCCTTCAATTAGGAAAGTGCACGCATCTAGAGGGCAACAATTGCGTGACACTACATTAGTTGGGATTGGACAGAAGTGGTTGGGAAAATGAGATGGTGGAGATAGCTAGGTTTGTTTGCATATTAGGCTAAAAATAATAAGAGTAAGGTCGATGATTATGATAAGGATTAGGTGTTGACAGAGGAAGATGCTTTTCCTACATAATTTCAGTATCTTAGGTGCGAACTAAATGAATTGTCTTTAGATATCATAGACATGCGTTAAGTTATGTAGTTGTTCAAATACGTGTTTCCTACATAATTCCAACATAGTTTGACTTGACTAGAGGTAGAGGGTGAGGTCCAAAAGAAGACAAGGCAAGCACTAAAAAGCATCTGCAGAAACGCATCTTTCGTTACTTATCAATCCTTTCATTCAGCAGAAAAGCCTCTTTCGCTTCAACCTTCCCCCTCAGATTGCCATGGACAAAGGGCAGAGTCAGACCGAAGGAAACGAAGGGATGCACAGTTTAGTTTGGGGGCGTTCCTTTGCGGTGCTTGTCGCTATTGGGACGATACTTCTCTCTATGCTTGCATTCAATCTTCTCAAGAAGAAGAAGAAGATCGCAGGGAAAGACAGCGTTAAGGGAGCATCCCCTCCTTCGTTCAGCTCTCCAATACCCATAGGAGCAGGTAGCTATCAATACGACGTGTTCTTGAGCTTTAGAGGGTCAGATACACGTAAGGAATTCTCCGATCACCTCTACCACAATCTGGTCAACGAAGGGGTTGTGCCAATTGGCGTGTTCAAGGACGAAGACAGCCTCCCCATTGGTGAGGAATTTGGTTCACAAATTCTTGATGCTATCACAAGATCTAAGATTTCGATCCCTATCATCTCCGAAAATTATGCCTCGAGCAAATGGTGTCTCCGCGAGCTCATTTGTATGATGGACTGCAAGAAGCGCACATCACAAATAGTGTTACCCATTTTTTACAAAGTAGCCCCATCGGATGTGCGCCATTTAAAAGGAAATTTTGGGAAGGCCTTCCATTTGGCAAAGAAGCGTTTTGATGGGAAGGATGTTGAGGAAGGGCAACGAGCACTTAGAGCAGTGAGTGACTTAAGTGGATGGGAATCTGAGGAGATTGCTAATGGGTACCTCTCTTCCACTGAACTTTGTTTTTATTGATAAGTTTTCTTATTCACGTAAAACCTATGAGTTGTAGATGACTTACTTCCACTACATGTACTCAAAACATCTCCAAAATGTCTCAATGATCGATCATAATGCCCTAGAGACAACAAACACTAGTACTCCCCAAGATGTCCCCTGAAAGCTAAACCAGCAATAACTAAAACCAAACTACCCTAAATTGCCCAAGAATTTTACAAGTCTCTCTGGTACAGAGCAAAAAAACAAAGAAACGACAACCCCTCCGGCCAGTAGTATCAATCACTAAACAATATTCCCACAAATGAAACCAATGCTCAGTCTTCCAAAGCTTGATCAACACCGGATGACATTGACCTCCCGCGCTTCGCATTGATTATGTCTAGGTTCGATTCCTGGTACCAGTGATCCCCCATTGGTAGGCGATTTGTAAGTCAGCTATAAGTCCTCAATGTAGGCCTGTGGGATGTCTAGGCCTTGGAGTGGGCTAATCTCCCCTCCTCCTAAACTTTTTTTGACAAAAAAAAAATCGATTTGCTATGGTTCGACTAGCAACAACCTTAAAGCCTTCTAACAAACATTATACTCCTAAAGACTCTTAATGAGCCAGATGGACCACCTTATTTTATTTCAACGAGATTTATATATTGTCAGAAAGGAAGGGGAAAAAAAGGAAATGACTGCTACAACATCATCCTCCATTGTTATTTGTAAAACCAAAACATTTTGCATATTAATTGGTCTCATCCATCCTTCACATGTATGTGGATGTCTTTTGATGAGATTAAGCATAACCATGAAGTTAACATGAGTTTTGTTGTTTGACAGGCATGAAGGAGAATTGGTGAAAGAAGTTATCAAAGCTGTTTTAAGCAGGTTGGAAAATGAATTTCAGCTTGATGTTACTAAGCGCTTAGTTGGAATTGATGATCATGTGAACAAAATCAAGAATTGGGTTGATATGCCTGCCCGTGATGCTCGAATAATTGGAATCTATGGCATGGGCGGAATCGGTAAAACGACTCTTGCCAAGGTCGTTTACAACAAGCTATTGAATGACTTTAAGCATCGTAGCTTTCTTCCAGAGATTCGAGAAAGAGCTCACCGTGACGGTATTCCTTATCTACAAAATCAACTAATTAAGGACATACTGCCAAATGAACATGAAGTTTGTACAGTTGATCGTGGAATTAGTTTGATCAGATCTAGATTCAAAGTAAAAAAGGTTCTAATTGTTCTGGATGATATAGACCACAAAAATCAACTAGATGCTTTGTCTGGAGAGCGGAATTGGTTTATGACAGGAAGTATTATCATTATTACAACTAGAAACAAAGCTGTTCTTGATCAATCTGAATTCGAGGTAGACTATCCGTATGAATTGAATGAAATGGACGTGGTGCATTCTTTGCTTTTATTTAAGAGACATGCATTTCGTATGGACCATTCTCCGACAGATTTTGAGGATATCTCTCGTGAAATCATATCCACCATGGGTGGGCTACCCTTGGCTCTTGAGGTCGTTGGTTCATACTTGTTTAGAAAAACAAATCGAAATGTATGGAAAGATGTGCTGAAGCAATTAAAAGAACGACCACATAGAGATGTCCAACATATATTGAAGATAAGTTATGATGCCTTAGAAGATGTGCATAAGCAGATTTTTCTCGATATTGCTTGTTTCGTTATTGGGGAAGAGATCAAATTTGCCATGTACATGTGGGAGGACTGTGGGTTTTATCCAAGTCAAGGAATAGAAGAATTGAAGCTGAGGTGCTTAATAAAAATTCGAGGTGATGGTTATTTTAGGATGCATGATCAACTGAGAGATTTTGGAAGGAGCATCTTTTGCCAAGGGCAACCGCCCGAGAGATGTCTGAAACTATGGGTCAACCAAATACCCTTCATTGCGGGACCGCTGATTCAGGTAACATATGGCACTCTTTTTTTCTTTCCCCCTCTCTCATAAATTCGTATATTTAATTTGATTTATTCTAATCTTTTATCTAGTATGAGCAGATGCTCCTGTTCTTTAGGAAAAAATCTATTTACACATCCATTCATGTCCATCGTAGATGAATCGTGACACTAATTGGATTATAAGTGTCCCAAGAATGAAAAGGTTACATTATTTAATTCAAATTCATCGATATAAATTAGATCCGTCAAAAACTTAATTTACAATCAATTTAGGATTTTTTAAGTACGATTCTACACTGAAAATCTTGTTCAGTAAAAGCATGTAATTTTATGTCTTGTTGAAAATATTGATAATCTGAAAGACTACAATAATTAATAAAAATGAAGCATATAGATCATAGATCAAAAAATGAAGATTTTTTGGTTTACAACAATTATGGACAATATGTGCCAATTATAATAACTAATAATTAAGCAAATCAGTTACATTAAAGAAAAATTTCAAACTTATCACGGGTGCTTGCTTTCTAGTACGGTTGAATGTATTGTGGTGCTCCTATCAATAAGGAGATCAATGTATGATACACTTCTCTTTTTTTTTTCTTTTTTTTTCCATTTTGAATGTGAAGATACCCGTCCCTCCCTCTACTAGTTATATCCTTGGCGCCTGACCGAGCGTGGCTGGGTGCCCGCTTTGATCCAGAATCACACCGCTACGCTGTTCAAGCGACTGGATGAGTCTTGCTTGAGGCCTCTGTCATGGACATGTCAGTCTGTTCCTCTGAACGTCTGCGCCATGTCGATCTGAGAAGTCCTTCGTCCACGGGTTCTTACATGTGCACATTGAGTCGCGGCTTGATTTATTTGTGGTCAGGCTCGATACACTAATCCAATAAAAAGTTTGAGTGGAGTTTTGTGTGTTTGGAGTTAATTCTCTTCCTTTTAATACTTGAACGTTATCGAATACTGTCACTGATCAGCTAAACTTTCTGGGGGAAAAAATTAATAAGTATTGTTGTTAATGTCAATCAAGCCGTGTGGGATTTTGTCACCATCTTCTACTAATTAAATGATCTCTTTTAGCAACAAAGTTAAGCGGTACTTTTTGACTTATAAGGCGCAAAAGGAAACGGTCCCTGTCTTAGGAAACGGACATACGTATCTTCACTTTTTCTGTTTTGGTAAACATACATAAGTAGATTTCTCCAGAAACTTTCATCTGGCAGAGTTTGCCAAAATATATTGACCAGCAACGACAACCTATTGTTCCACATGTTAGAAACCTTAATCTAACTGTAAAACCACGAAAGGAAGTTAATTAGTTCCTTTTTAGTTGGTCTAAAACCAACTCGTTTCCAATTCCCATCAAAATCTAAAATATTATTCAAATACTGAAGTTGTATTGCTAACGAATGTCACCACGTCAGTTTTTAATCATACATTTCAAGAAAAGATTCATTTTTTAAAGCAATGATTAAACACTTCATAAGAATTGTCAAATGACTTGAGAATCTGGTGCTTCCTTAGCTACTTAACAAGTGACCCATGGGCACTCTTTAACATTTGTATGTTTTAAAAGGTTTTGCATACTTAGCCTTGGATAAAATTCAAAGTGAAAAATTTGAAAAAACAAAATGTAATACATTTAGGTGTGCCGTCTTGAATTTTTTAAAGTAAGAACAATTGTTCTTTGTGTTTAAAATATTGTTCAAATTTCAAAAGATAATCAAAATATTATATGTGAGTTTACCCGTTGACAATTGTATATGGCGAGGGGTAAAAAGATGACAAATTGTGTTAGTCTAGGTTTTAGAAAAGCAAAAATAAAAGAAATTAAAAGTTAATTCAGACATTTAATTGATTGATTTGATATGCAGACCTTCTTTCCTATAATCCGCCCGGGTTACATCGTTTGGCCCCAGGGCTGTCGCTCTACATACACAAGTGAACTGTTCAAAAACTTACCGAGCTCAAGGTTCCTTCAATTGTGTTGGAAGGATTTAAGTGGAGACTTTAACAAACTGTTTGTTGAATTAAGATGGCTTCGGTGGTTTTACATTGAACCCAATATGTCTTCTTTGGCGATCAATTTGCATCTATATAACTTAGTGGTGCTGGACTTGTCACGAAACAAGCTCACAGAGGATTGGGTAGGATGGAGTTCAATCATGGTAAGATGGAAAAAAGACATCCTCTGTGATCTTTGCTTTGTTTTGTCCAGTCTATTGAACTCGTTTTTTGACAGCTTATTCTCCTTTGTACAGGCGGCAAAGCGATTAAAAGTTCTTGACCTTTCATATAGCCGGGATTTAAGATGTACTCCTAATCTCTCGGCTTTCACAGAGTTGGAGATTCTCATCTTAAAAGAATGTCCCAAACTGGAGCAAGTCCACCCTTCTATTGGCGAAGTCAAGAGCCTTGTTTCTATGGACTTGAGATTCTGTCGAAGTCTTAAGGAGTTACCAGAGGAGGTGGGCAAATTGCAAGAACTAAAAGAACTTCGTTTAGATTATGCAGGTATTCGTATCACTAAGATTCCAATGTCAATCCGTTCTCTGACAAAGCTTGAGAAACTAGATGCTTGATCTTGTCGTTCATTGGTTGAAATCCCTCTCTCAAAGTTAAATTATGCGGCGTTGAATTTGTAAAGTTAAAAATAGCCTCCTAGCAAACAATCCCGCATTACTGATTTTGCTAATTGGATATTGCAAAATAACCAAGTAAGAAGTACATCTTTCTGTTCTATAGTTTGGGCACTTCACCTTTTCAGCATCAGTTCTGTTCGTAAACACAAACAAGGATGGTGGTGCTAATTGCTTACTTCTCTTCCCTTAAGTCGGTTGTTTTCTTTTTCTTTGGCTGATAATCAAGTCTCTGGTGATTGCGATCCAACTGCGAACTAATCAGAGACACCTGGAATTTGTGGCAAAATAATATCCCCAGATTTTGGTGTTGATACATGAGTTTCATTGAAGAGGAGATTCATAGATCACCAGAATCTGGACCAGGTCAATGTAATTTTGTTTATATTGATGGACTCTCTATGCTTACAACTTTCAGCTAATTTTAGACACTTCATACCAAATACATCTGAATATAGACAGAACTAACCACGGATCAATGCAGCCGCACCAATATCTCTCGTCGAGATGATTGGAGAGCGTATCACAGTTTACTCTCAGCCATCTCGTGTACGTCATGCATCATCCTCATTTTTTTGGCCATCTTTAACAAATGCTCCAGTGGAGATTAGTTATTAGTCTCATAAGGTTGAATTTGCTAGTGTTTGTAACTTTTGATGATATATCATAAACAACCTAAATTTATCACACATTCTTTTCCTGAATCTATTACAAGTACATATGAAGCCAGTAATGTTATTAATTATTTTCAAAATCTCATGTGACAACAGCTAACTGGGAAAGCCAATGAGTGTGAGACCCAAATAAAAGGCTTTTATTTGATAATGCAGTTCAAAACTATACGACACGCAACCCACCCATCGGTGGCCGCATTGGTTTGCTCTCAGTTCCTTTCACGAGAGGTCCTGGGTTCAAACTCTCCTATCGGTGATTTAAGTGGGGGGTCGTAGTGGTGGGATGCTGAGCTAGCCCCCCTTGAGGACTAGTCGGGCATCACCGCTGGTTTGAGCCTAGCTCGCCGGCCGCGCGGACACCTCGGTTATCAAAAAAAAAAAAAAAACTATACAAGACGCACATACCACCAGGTCGTCCAAAACTTTTGCATGACTTGCGTCGAAGGGCAACCAAGAGAAGGCAACAAAATCTCACCACGCAATGATAAAAGCTGAAGGAGGAAGAAGAAGAAGAAGAAGAGAAGCACTCTGTGCCATCTTTTTTTTTTTTTTTTGATAACCGAGGTGTCCGCGCGGCCGGCGAGCTAGGGCTCAAACCAGCGGTGATGCCTGACTAGTCCTCGAGGGGGGCTAGCGCAGTATCCCACCGCCACGACCCCCTACTTAAATCACCGATAGGCGAGTTTAAACCGAGGACCTCTCGTGAAAAGAACTGAGTGCAAACCAACGCGGCCACCGATGGGTAGGTACTCTGTGCCATCTTTTTGTGATCAGTCTTTGCAACTTTCTGGTCGTGTTTGATAAAGTTGTCCAAAAAGTCTTTGCTCGTGAAATTCTACAGTCCAATCTCGCTCTCTGGCCAAACAGCAGTTTTCACTATAGGTCTCAATTATGTTCATAGATGCCATTGGTGATGACCAAGTAAGGAGGAAATGAAGCGGAAGATGAAGAAGGTGGTATTCGCGCCATTTTCCTTATTTCCTAGTTGGTAATGCAATTTGTCGTTTGCCTCAACTGAGTTGACAGCAAAATGTGCTGAAAATCTCAGAAAATTGGAAGAGAATGTCTTCAAAGTTCGAACATAACAGAAGGATTGGTGAGGATTGCAACTACAACTGCTACCGGGAGCAGAAGATGACGTAGTGGTGTCAGGAGGAAGGGGGGAAATAGTAGCTACTCGAGGACATCGAGTATAAACCTGGAGAGTCCTTCTCATGTGAACTCCGGTGCTGCCTCCTCTGTGGTATACTGGTATGATGACTAGTTCATCAAATATTTGATATAAGGCCAAAGTGCTAATTTCCAAGTCCACTCTATTTATTCAGTAGTATGAGCTAGCACAAGTTCACGTTCCGTACTCTCATATCAGCAGCAGCATCACAAAGTCTGGTCTGCCAATTCATAAGGAAATGAAGTTTGTCTTTTTTATTCTTTGCAGGGGTTTGTACCAATAAATTGTCGATACTCCTTGCAATAACCGTCGACGATCGTGGTGTACATGATCACATCTAGCTCCCAGCCTGTGTCTTCCAAATTCTTCAGCAATCGAACAGCTTTCCTAGTATTGCCGGTTCTGCACAATCCCTCACTATGGCTCCACACGTGGTTATATCTACCTTGATTCGTCTGGCCAACATTTCATCTGCCAAGCTCAAGGCTTCGGCAATTCCACCCTCTCCAACAAAGCCCATTTGATCAAAGTGTTGAAGAAATACTCCATCGATTCATTCTCATTAGTTTCACCAATTTTGTGGTCTGATGAGATGTTTCTCCCAAACAGGTGGCAATTGAAGAGAGAGGTGGTCAATATGCAAAATTACGATCTTATACTGTTGTGAAAACAACTAAGAAATCCACATCTGAAACCAAATCCTATTGGATCGAAATCTCACACGGCAACGATGGCGAACACCGGTGAAGTTGAAGTATAACCTGTCAAAATGAACATGTCTACTCATTGTCTGCATAGAACATACTTTTAACATTTTGTTTTTGGTCTATTCGATCTTTTCTTACACATCGATGAGGCAGGGATCCCGGCTCATATTTTGCAAAACGACGTCAACAGGAATTTTTCGTTTTTATGCATATTTTTTGGCTGGATGGTTTACATACGACGTACGTACTTCATGAAGGAACGTTACATTTCCTTTTTTTTTTTGTTCCTGATGGCATTGGACTGCTCATTCAGTGGATAAACTCTAAACATGTGAAAACCTTGTTAACTCACCCAATTCAGTGGCTCGAACACAACTGACCGCTAAATTGGAGAAAACATTAATGGATTAAGAAAAATTGTAAGCTGAAGTCCGGATGGCAAAATCCGTTATCTGTCTTAGATAACGTGATTTTGTGAAGATCGATTCCGTAACGTGTGCTTAATCCATGTGCGCAAGTTCTTCGTGAATTGCAAGCCAATCATTTGAGTAATGTCGGAGAAAAGAATCACGAGTTACGATATTTGAATGAGTAAAATGAATAGATTTTTTTCCCCTCCTTGAAATTGTCCCCTTTTGTGGAGTATAATTTACAATTTGGTCCTAATCTTCAGGATATCGATCGTGCATCCAAGTTTGTCACTCCACGCGATGGCACAAAATAGATGTGGATGTGGAAGTTAAATCAATAACTTCTCCTTTTATGCTTATCTTATCATCATGTCGCTCAATTGAGTAAAACACGTGACCGATTAGCAGTTCCACTCTATGAGGACATAGAAAGACAATAATTTACAATTTGACTAGACATGAACCCGAACAAATGTAGTTAATGACTATGAGATTTTGTGGGACTATTACGAGAGTTTGAGCTGTCAGAAGAAGACATGGTTTAATATTTAATTGCTCTAACACTCCATCTCACGTTTAATTAACTTGGTCTTTTTGGCTAGTATTAAATGTGGACATAATTAATTGGGAAAGCAAATGGGGCTCGGAAAGATTTGAATTCAGAACTTTCAACTCTAATACCATACAAGATGAGTTGTGCCATGTATGAGTCTTGCCTAAATCATAAAACAAACCTCAATTGATGCAAAGATAGCCTTTCACTTAAGTATATAATGATAGGAGCATAATAGACCAAGCTAGCTAATTGCTGATAGATCTCATAATGAATTGGCAGATGTTTTGATTTCCGAATTAGAAAGAACAAAATGAAACGAGTGAAATTGCGCCAACGCAAGCATCAAATCAAAATGAATATCCATGAACTAGTTGTTGGTCCTCACGACAATTACTCATAGATAGGCAATATTTAGGCAGATAGAGTTTGCTATTTCATATTTCCATTTCAATGCGTCATCAGATTCGGTAATTTTAATACTCTGTTTGTTTTATGGAAAATGAACGGTTTGGAAAACATTTTCTTGAAAAAAATCGTTTCTATCGCTCGAAATAATTAGTCAATGAAAAATGTTTTCATCACCGGTAACAACTTATGTCTAAACATTTTCGTGGACGATAAAATATTTTTCTTCTAAGAGATTTTTTGCCTCTTGGAATTAATGTTGATAGAGTAGATTTTTCTCTATTTTCGCAATTTGGGTGTATCGATGTGCACATGTGATAGTGTTAGGGGGATCAAGTTTCGCGTTGTAGACATGATGTGAGGCAACATTGTTAACGTGAATTTTGACGAAAATCTCACGAATGGATGCAGCATTACAATATATGATTTCATTGGTAGCTCTATCGAAACTCATCGAAGAAATGTATGTTACTTCACATCTGGAAAATGTACGTCGGCATCTATTTCGCTCGACTTAATTAATTTTCTTCGGAGAGTGTGTGCATCTTCCACTCCATGTACCAGAAATTCTGCGTTTTGGCAAATAATAGAAGTGCCGTGCAACGATTCAACCTATCCGGCGGAGCGGTGAGTCCAGTAGATAATGCTCCGTCGTCACATCTGCCGAGTGGGACCTGGGGCGTCCATCTCTTGCTGCAGAACAACGACAGCGAGCACGTCCTCTCGCTCGACCGCGCGGAGACTGCAAAATGGCAAAGGCGGGAACGTTAGCCGGTATCAGGGACATCTCCTTTGATTCTGCATATCTATTCCCGCTCTGTCCATCTTCTCGATCGACTCCGGAGAACTTCCTCTGGAGGCCCTCCAGGTGCTCGACCAATTGCCTCGTCGGTCCCTCGAAGAATCCACTTGTGGATCTCGATCCGTCCCGCGCTTTTCTTTTCCTCTTCCTCGTCTGAGCCTTCTTATTCCGGAGACGCAGCTTCTTCTGTATCCCGAGTTGAGTTCTCCGAGGCATGACCGCCACCTGTTCGACGATTTGTCTCCTCGTTCGGATGCCGTGTGCTGCTCGGTGGGCATCGGCTGGTGAGAGCTGAAGCGGGGCTCATTTGACTGGTCTGGCCGATCTCTCTTGAGGCCACAAATCGCCTCGAGCTCACCAAAAGCTCCAGACATATTGTTGCTGGTTTTTATCTCTTCAGCCTTTTCGCTTCGATGATTGCATTGTTCCTTGTTGTCGTTCAAGGGTTCACTGTCGAGTGGCTTCCTCATTCACCAATATGGATTTGTTCCCTTGATGCTCGTCCTGGACATTCCAACTTGGCAAAGTTAATCTCACGCTATACCGTATGCGTTGGTGGTTTTGATTTGAACTTAAGAGTAACATAAAATCAATCAAGCAAACTACTATTCCAATTTCGCTGAAAACCCAGCCTAACGAGTTAGCTGCCGCAAGTCCAAAGAACTCTGAGAAGTCGGAACGAGCAATGTACTGGCCACAAAGAATCATGCTTAAAGCTTGTAGAGTTAGTAATGCTATCTTCCATTTGCATGAACTAAGTTGACAACAAAATGCGCTGGAAATCTCAAAGAAAATGGAAGAGAAAGTCTTCGAAGTTTGAACATAACAAACGGAATGGTGAGGATTGCAGCCACCGTCGCTACCAGGGACTTATCGTGTAAACTCTGGTGCTGCCTCCTCTGTGGTATGATGACTAGTTTAACGTCAAATTTCTTGTATACGCAGCGAGCGGTCAATATTGCTAATTTTCCAAGTCCACGCTATTTATTCAAAAGTATAGGCTAGCACAGTTCATTTTTCTTACTCTCATATCGGCATCATCACAAAGTCTGGTTTTCCAATTCCCCAGGAAATGAAGATTTCTTTGTCTTTGCAGGGGTTTATACCAATTGTCAATACTATTTTTACTTTGTCAAAATGTCACAGTTGACATCAAAACTAAGTTGCATAATAAGCTTATTATTGATAAGAAAATTAACAATAGATTCACTTATAATGTCTCGGCTAGAGATGTCCATCAGTTTTCTGACTCAGCTGATTGAGGGGATGATATAGTCTTCATTGCTCAAACTTTACCTAGGTGTTTATTATTTCACTGAAATTGAAGTTTAGCTGGAGATGATTTTTTCTTTGCCAGAGCTGTTGCTGTGCATCAGCAATATATCGAACTCCATAGATTCCTTGTTGATGAGAATATATAACTGCATCATCTACATGGAGTAGTCTAATGGCACATCGCAGCATGATCAAGTGCTATTCAACTCGGTGCTATTCAATGGCTGTCCACTAATTTGCGTAATTATCGTATGTATACATACATGTAAGGTACTTCCATGCTTTTCTTCGTGAAAAGTGAGGGAAAATTAATACCATACCTTGCTAATTACAATACTTCAGTCCCTTATCCATATGAGCTATATAATTGCTTGCTTTAGTTATGGTTGATTAGTTTTTGAAGCGGCTATTCACATTCAAGCAGTTCATGGAGGTTGTAATTCTTGTTGTCATACTTTGAAAGTTATGAAGGATTGCAGGAGACTCTCGAATTACCCATCTGGTTCCTGATTTTTCTGAATTATTCGCATTCTTCCTGCTGAACATTGGACATCCCAGTGCTTTGCCGGCCGACAATTTCTGCGTAATGTCAGATTGTTCCTATTTTAGCAAAATTATTTCAGACAGCGCAAATGCTTGGAGAAATCTTGTTGAAGTTGGAAATGTTAAATTCATTTCTCTAGGACATGATAATTGGCACCCACATGGAGAAATCATCTGCACTCCATCCAAAACAGGGACTGGTACAAATTCTGTTTCTTGGAGTATTGTGAGTAACAGGGGAAGTAGAGTAGAATTGGACTATAAGACATACTGAATGAGAGAGACATCACGTGCAATTCCATATAAATGTCATTTGACCAGAGTGCAGTTCCAAATTATCAGTCGAAACCGGCATTTCGTACGTGCAATTTGCCCCTAAATAATGTCATCTCCAAGTCATTGCCTAATCAATGCAACAGCCTTTTGCAGCCTGCAGCCTCATTCTGTGAAGTTTCTTAGCATTTGGGATGTCAAGCCTGTGAGCTGCACTCTGCAGCCTCTTTTTGTCATTCCATTTGATCAGATGAAGCCTGCAGCCTCTTTCTGTTGAATTCGTTAGAAATCTGACAGCCTTAGCAGCATTGCCCGACCCACTCGCAACGACTCCACATTGGCTTTAAATCCTTTGGCTAAAATTTCATCCACCAAGCTTATGCCACGGCTCGAGCAATTCTACCTTTTTCATAAAGCCCATTGATCAAAGCGGGGAAGCTACCAACATACGGTTCAAGTCCAAGCTTAAAGACTATACTCAAAACAGAGAACCCAAGATGAGATCTTTTCAAGTGGCAACTTGTCAAAATCCTAAAAATATAAGCTTGAACTAGTCTAGTTTTAGAGTAGTAACCTTTTTTTTGGTTCTTTATCAAGAAATTGTATTAGAGATTACATCAAAATACATATCAAATCACTAATTAGGTTATAGCTTTGCTTTAATTAGCTGAACGATTCTAGTGGACCAACAGTAATAAATTAAAAAAAAACAGACTTTGGCTTTACTCTTGAAAGACCACTGACATTAACGCGATATTAGCAAGTGATTAAGGTAATTAATTGGCTTTGGCTTTACTGTTTTTCGTCCACAGCACCGCAGTACATATTTTGCAAATAAAATGTGCGTTTTCTTTGTGGCCTTGTGGTGGGTGGGCATACAGCTTCGTATAGTCTCTTTAAAGGTTTTCCCTTGGAGTTTCGGTAGAAATTGTCGAAAAAAATTTTGCCAAAGAGAAACGGAGGAGATAGACCGAGCCAAGGTCGTGGTGTTGGGTGGGTCAAGGGGCATCATTCCTTCAGACAACATAAGATACTGGAGATCTTGATTTTGTCTTCAACTTTTGAGTATTCTCTGGATATTCTGTTTTCCTTTTCTTAAATTTCTAGGATGCATTGTCGTTATTATTATTATTTTTAGTATAATATTGTTGAGCAAGCATCCGTTCTAAACTCCTCCGGGTGCATTGTTCTTATTATATTCCTCTTGTAATATCAATCATGTTATCATCTCTTTTTGGCCACAATCAATATCTACACAAAATCGATCATCTCGGACCGTTTGGAGTTTATTGCAAGATTACGGTGCGGAGAGATCATGGTGCTTTGAATTTAATTCAACCCCTTCACACCATAGCTTATATTTGACGATGAGATCAAAGGTTCGTAGCTTTCACTTTCACTTCGTGACTCTTTCATCCTTACTTTTTAAATGATATTAAAGTTTCATAGTGGCACCAACTGGTTCTTGAGGGACAGCTACGAAGATTATTGCTGTGACAATCTCTAGGATGAAAACTGGATATGCGCCCACATACCCGCAAGAAGGGTTGCTTGCACTTTTTTCTCCTGAGGAAAATTACATCCAACATTTTGCAATTATGAAGACATTACCTAGGATTTGTGAAATTATAGGGATTTTGTTTTTCAATAAAGAACTCATAACATTCCTGATTGTTCCTTTCTTTCTACGACCCATCAGGTAACATTGAAGACATACTATCAGTATTAGGCCGTTTTCTCGTGAGGAACTAGGGTTTTATCTCTGATGTGTGATCAAATCAAAATCTAGAGCCTTCACGTGTCCCGAAGCATGTAAAAGCTGTATTCACAATACTAACTCAGTCAGAATTTTAAATTTTAAATATTTTGCAACATAAACATTATTTGTGAGAAGAAGATTATTGTGGTGGCATGAGAAGTATCGGAATTCAATCTTTTGGGGCTGCTTCCACCTTCCTCGCAATGGAGTTTTCACCGCTGTCATCATCATCACTCGCACTGCGCTGATTTCTTTCAGCTGCTTCTATTTTCTACCTTCTTTAATTCCTTCACTATTAATTTAATGGGAAGGTAAGTTACCTCCCCATTTCCATCTACTAACCCTTCCAGGAGAAAACATGCTGTTTTCGAAGTTTTTCTGTGGCATGACTCTACGAGCTCCCAATACTTTATATGATCGTCGCATCAAGAGAGAGGTGTCATCTTAAACTGTGTTTGGTTGTCTGGATTTATAATCAGGATAAGATATGATAAAAAATTTATGGATTTTATTATATCATATGCATTGTTTGGTGAATCGCAGTAATAAAGCCGGATATTTTTATATGTTATTTTGTCCATTGTTTGGTATTTACGATATGCCAATATAAATGAATATGAAAATACCCAAATGGAGATTGTAAAAATATTTTATAATTCACTGCCAAATCTAGTAAGAGAGAGAAAATAAGATCATTCACTTTTGTGATTACGAAAAATATAGTGCTTTGATTCTCTCGCTGCTTTTGTGAAACTTTAACATGAATAAAAAAGTTGTGGAAGAAAAGGAGTTTCGACTCTCTGCTACTTTTGTGGACTTTTGACGTGAAAAAAAGAATTATGATGGAGAAGAAGCTTCAACTCTCTCTCTGATTTCGTGGAGCTTTGAAGTGAACTAAAAAACTATGGAGGAGTGGTGAAACTTCAACATGAACTAGAGATCCAAAGGAGAAGGAGATGGAGATGGTAGGTTTGTTTTAGAAATTTCATTGCCTCTCATTCTTCGAGAATTGGAAAGATACTTTTCAAGTTTGAATTTATTAATTTAAATCCAGCTTCTTCTACTTAATTTTTATTATTTTTCCATCTCTTTTTATTATTATTTTATTCCTTTCCACTATTCCTTAATAAAAATTTTATCAAATAATAAACTATTCTATTATACATAAAATATGTAATAATATAGATACTAAATATACATATACAAAATATATATTATAGAGTAGAAAGAAATTCAAATCTATAAATAATAATATGAATAAATAAAAACGAAATTTATTATTTTTTGTTATTTGAATTTTATTTTTAATATTAGAATTCAAATATTCTTTATATTCAATTATTATTATTTTAGTTTTATTATTGAAGAAGATCGTTATTCGAGAAAAATAGTTTATACCGCGAATATAAGAAATCCTATCTAGCTTTTATCCCGCCTCCCCAGCGAGATAATTTTATCCAGGTTGTGTCAGACTTTATTTTATTTTGAGTAGGATCCAAACACGAGATAGGATAAATGTAGCCTTAGGATACTAGAAATTCAAGTTTTCCCCAAATGATTGACTTGACTTGCCATATAAAAAACAATTTAATTGCCGCCGGACAATCAGCAACAGGGGTTTAAGTTGTTTAGGTTCCCCCGCCTCTCTCTTTCTCTCTCTCATTTCTCACTTTGTCTGTCTCACATTCAACCTCTCTCTCTCTCAGAGCAATTTGAGCCCATCGTCTACTCGTTGGTCCGTACTCGCCTTCTTTGATCTTTTCCCACTGGAGAGTTGTCGCCCAGGCTTGTTTAGGTCCTTCTCTCTCCGGTCTCACGCCTCTCTTCGCATCTGAGCTCCCGGAAGGTAATCGCTCTTTCATCTCTCATTAGCTTGTCGTCTCTCTTGATTCGTCGCTTTATTATCAGAACAACCGGCTGTATTAGTGTGTTTTGGGGCTCTTTTTGTCTATTGGAGATGTGAGTGGCGGCTGAATAGCTGAGGAGGGATTTCTTTCCCTCTTTCGAATGGTTGTTTCCCACTAAGCTGCTATGTCACCAGCCCAGATTTGAGTTTCGTTACCAAGGAAAGCCTTTGTTTCCGAGTTTGGATGTGACTAATCCTATGGCCTCTCTGTCTGATTGTTCATTTGCATCGTAATTCAGTGTTAATCCTTTGTTAAACTAGATTTAGTGGGCCGGCCTGCAAGCGCGCTCGATTCTATTGCGCGCAAAAATGAAAGATTTGGCTGGAAACCAAGGAACACCGTTTGATGGATTCTGAGGTTTCTCTCTCTATGAAGGTCATCCATCAATTAATTAGAAAAATGAACCAGAAAGAAAAGAGTAGGCTGGTTTTTAAGTGAAATTGTCAGTTCCAACGTCGATCGGTTCGATTCCGATTTCAAAAACTGAGAATGGCTATTACTTCCTAAGATAGTCTTTTCTTAATGATATTTTATTCAACAATTTTACCTCCCCACGAAACATTCCAAATGAATAATATTTTGTTTTCCTAAAATTATTGGAGCGGATGATCCTAAAAGGCATATTCCCTTTCACCACTAGTATTCCCTTTTCACCACTCACTCATTTTCTCCCTTCAAAGCATTGAATATTGAGGGAGCCTGTTACCTGAAAAGATAGAAAAATACTAAATGAGTAAATAAAAAAAAATACAGTTCATAAAAAACGACAATAACTAATATATAAAGGTTTGATAATTCTTAACTATATTGCTACTTTTTACCAGCTCTCAACTAATGATAGTTTTAAGGGTTAATATCATGAAAAATCCAAAATTGATACATATTTGATAAATTTATCTCAAACTAATTACTTGACCACCAAAAAGCCCAAAATGGTACACATGTGATAAATTTATCACAAACTAATTTTTTGATTACCAAAAACTCTAAATCGGTACACCTGTAATAAATTTATCCTCCATCAGCTTTCATCTAATTTTACCGTTAAATTTGCTGACCTAGATGACACATGGCGACGTGGTATGGTGACGTGGCAAGTGCACACGCAAATCCATAGGGTTAATACCACGAAAAATCCAAAACTTTGACGGAAACTAACGAAGGGTAAATTTGTCATACATGTACCAGTTTGGGGCTTTTGATTGTCAAAAAATTAGTTTTAGGTAAATTTGTCACATGTATACCAGTTTGGATTTTTCATGATATTAACCCTAGTTTCAATCATCACGATACAAAACATACCAAAATCCATGGCAAGATACTTCTTAAGATCTTTCACACGATATCCAGTAGTACGAAAAAATAAACTAAATTATTTTTTTGACATACATACATGAGAATAATTAAATAAAATTGAACTATGTGCGCTCATTAGGAGATGCACCTAGCTTTATATTACCCATATCTTACACCTCTTTTGTTACAAACAATTAATTCGTTCTTCCAAGTGCTATTAATCAATTTAATCTGACTTATCAAAAATTTAGCCGATAATCCTATTCTAGGCCCATTTTATTGGAGCACAAAATCTTTGCAATGATATTCTCAAGTTGGGCCCCCCAACACAAATGGGGACACTCACTCAACGCCATTTTCTAAAACCTTGGTCGTTTCTTAATTTTCTTCCTTGGCAAAATTATTAAAAAAGTCCTAAACCTATTGTACTTATACCAATTTACCTAAAACTTTTAATTTGGCCAATTTAATCCTAAACATTTTGAAAATTTGCCAATGTAATCCATCTGGCCAATTTTGGTTGAAAGTCGTTGACATAGACATCGGTTGTCCCATGTGCCACAGTTGGCACAGATGTAGATAATTTTTTTTAAATATTTTTTCGAAAATTTTTATATTTGATTTCCTTTTTCGTTTTTTCTTTCTTTTTTTTTTCATTCTTTCTCTACCGATCGTTGGGTCTCGGCAATGGCCGTCAACCAGTGAGGGTCGCCCTTGCCAGCCTCAGGCGAGGTCCCTTTCTTGGATCTAGCGAGGGGTGAGGCTCGCCGACCTCACCAGCTTCAAGCAAGGCCACGAGGCCACCCCTTGCTAGATCCCGGCAAGCTCGACCTTACCGAGATCTGGTGAGGGGCGACCTCACCATCCTAATCAACAAGGTCGAGCCTCGCCCGAAACTGTTGAGGACGGCTCGAAACTAGCCTTCGACGAGGGTGACCCTCATTGATTGTTGCCTTTGGCCAGTCGCCAGCCATCACTAAGGCCTGGCGATTGGTGGAGGAAGAAGGAGAAAACAAGAAGAAGAAAGAAAGCAAAATAAAATATAAAAATTACGGGTTAATATCAAGAAAAACTCCAAATTAGTGCACCCGTGACAAATTTAGCTCAAATTAATTTTTTGACTACCAAAAACCCAAAACTGGTATATCTGTGATAAATTTACCATCTGTTAATTTCCGTTAAGTTTTACTGTCAAATTACCGTGTTGAATGACACGTGGCAGTTGACGGGTGTACCTGTCTAGGATTTTACCCTCCGTTTGTCACAGGTGTACCATTTTGTTATTTTTTGTGGTATTAATCTAATTCCAAGTGATTGTGCTTCAAGAGGAGAAACGCATCGTGTAAGAACACCACGCCAAACACCAGAAATCACCGACAAACTCATTTTTGTTCTGAGATATATTTGATTTGATAACTCCAGGTTGAGGTGTGAAGGTGATCCTCCCGATTGGACTGCCTTTGGGGACTCGGATACAACCTGATCTGCTCAAAGCTAACTTGTTCTTGAACTCAAAACCCATTGCAGTGATTTTATCTCTGCATCGCTCCTTCAGGTTAGCCCTACCGTCATTCTCCAGTCTGCTCAAGGAGGTGATATCCATAGTATCTTGACTCTGATGATTGCATTCCATTATGCTCCCACATTACTTTATAGAATTGCAAGTGACTGCATTATCTAACCAGATAGAGCCCAACTTGTAAAGGCTGCATCTACCTCAGCCTCACCTGTTAACTGATAGTGACCTTCTCTCACGTGCAAATTTGAATGAAGTCAGTATGAGGAATGCCTGTAGAAATGGGGGAAAAAGATTAAAAAAAAAACGCTTATCTTCTCCATAAACAAGAGATTATCATAAGCATCATTGAGCTCTAGGGAAACTCCTCCCGGTCATAGCAAATCATTGATAACCTAAAGTTATTTCGATCGATAAGTAGCAGCCACACCCGTCGTGTCCATTGTGGACAAGGAATGTGCATGATCGCGGACACATCCCCTAATTCTTTTGTGAGAAATCAATTTCTTAGCACAAGTTCAAAATCAGGGACAAAATTAAGGATATGTATCCACGTAAGACCAGTAAAGTTAATCTCTTCATATTGATGGATTTGAGACAAAATTAAATGGGAGAATCCGTTTTAACAAAAGAAAAATTAAAATTTGGATCTCCAAAATTTATTAAGTCAATCAAACCCCGTGTCAAAGAACAACAAATTGCATGAAGAGAAATTGAGATCGCTCCATGGTTCCATACCTCTTGCACAAAGTGCACGAAGTGGGGATTCGATGGAGTGCAAATTTAAGTGAAGCATTATATGGAGAAAAATAAAAGATTGCAAGAAAATATATAAATAGCATAGGAATGTTAATTGCAAGAAAAGAAAATTGATATACTGAAAATGCAAATTGTTTATTTTTCCATTAATTCTCAAATTACTTGACATGCCATAACATCAGAATTTCCTTTCGACAAGCCATGCAAATGCACCTTGTCACGACAACACAGACGTGGTAAAAGCCACTTCGTTTAAGCGCTAAATAAACCACACAGGCCAACCATGTATTTCCTCGGCCCCTAAACATAATCTATAGCCCTTTATCAGATATTGCACTCTTGAAATTAGCGACAAAACTCACTTAGGCCAAGAAGCCCGCGACTGTAATTTTGCCAGGGCGTATAACGTCGAAATTACGCACTGTCAAATCCCAACGGTTTGAGGTTTAGTGGAGTTTCTGTTCATACCAAAATTATCACCGGAAATACGTCGGAGCATCGCCGACAAAGGCAGAACAGCGGGTGAGCAGAAAGCTTTATAAAAAGAGAGAAATTTGAATTTTTGGATTGAAGAACTTACCTACCATCAAATTAATGAATTGCCAACGTTAGGTGTTGTTTTTCGACGAACTATAGGGATTCGGGAAGCTGTCTTCTCGTCCTCTCTCTCTAATAAAATGGGAACCAAGCCAAGTTATACGAGGCAAGTTCTATATAAACCTCTCAAAATCCCTTCTGCCTTCTAAAAGTAAGTCCAGACACTCCGACCACACACGAAAGCGAGCAAAGCTGCTGTTCTATTGAAAAATCCTTAGCTGTCTGTCATTGGACAAGGTCGTGGTTGATCATTCTTCACGATGTCAATTTCGCAATTGAAGTTCGCCTCCTATTTTAAGTAACGTGCATTTTTCACTTCTACTTTAACCACTGACTACTCTTACTTGTCTTTTCACATATGAGTCTTCTTTCTTTTTTCCTTTCGAACTTGGCGTGCTGCAATTGAAATATGGAAATGTGGGGGAGAAGAGCCTAGGTGATTTCTAACCCTTTGTCATCACTGAATGGCATCTGCAACTGCTCCTAGTCAATCAATTACTAATTTACGAAAAAAATATGTTAATTTTTCCTTGCTAATAGATGTCATGTTCATACTTGTTGAGACTCGTTATCAAATTTTTTATGCAGCAGAAAAGCATCACGCGTTTCACCTTTCCCCCCTCAGATTGCCATGGATGCAGGGCAGAGTCAGAGAAAGAGAAAGAGGACGGAGAAAGAGAGCACTAAGGGAGCATCTGCTCCTTCGTTCATCTCTAAGATACCCTTGGAAGTTGGTAGTGATCAATACGATGTGTTCTTGAGCTTTAGAGGCTCAGATACTCGTAAGGGATTCACCGATCACCTCTACCACAGTTTGGGCAATGCAGGGATTGTACGGATATCCGTGTTTAGGGATGAGAACAGCATCCCTGTTGGCGAGGAATTTGGTTCACAAATTATTGATGCCATCACACGGTCTAAAATTTCGATCCCCATCATCTCCGAAAATTATGCATCAAGCAAATGGTGCCTCCGCGAGCTCATTCATATCATGGATTGCAAGAAAAGCATGTCACACATAGTCTTGCCCATTTTTTACAAAGTGGCCCCATCGGAGGTGCGGCATCTACAAGGAAATTTTGGGAAGG